CATAATGTTTGTAATTATAATCGTTTAATGAGGTGTTTGCTGCACAGGGAGCCTTTGAACTGAAGTAACTGAAGTAGCAACAACAAACTAACAGTCAGTCCTAATAAGAAGCACTTCCAGAAAATGCTCAGCTTTTGAAAAGAAACAGCTTCCTCCGCAGCAGGACAAATTCCACCCTTTGGCATAGACAAGGTCAGTGTGTTTCATGAACGCGGAGAGAGCATCTACACCTGATGCGCCAGAGTGCCGCGAGCGACCAGACTGTCCCCTCCAAGTTTCACTTACCTTCTTGTAAGCCGAAGTGCAGTTGTGATGGGCGTAGGCAACGTGGTCAGTGCAAAACAGCTGTTCACAAGCATCACATTTCAGGGGGAGGAAATCTGAGGGGCAGGAAAGGACAATACAATGAAGAGTTGCAGCTGTCTTCTCTGCAGCCCTACACGGGACTTGCTAGGTATCCTTTATTTTAAGCCAAGAACACACTGGATATGCAATCTCCCAAGAGCATACAGGAAAGGTAAGAAAAGATCTGAGCACAATGACGATGCCATAGTAACTGATGACTAACACAGACTCAAATAGGTATGCAACTAGGAAAATAAGATCCAGGCTACCCCCTTCAGCAGCCCCTGACTGATGGGCTCAAGTAACAAGCTAATATCCAATTCTCCCCAGGACTCTTCAAATAAAGAGAACTAGGAAAAAGCTTCTACAAATAGGACAGGAAGAAAGTGCATTTATTTTTGTCTTATCGAGAAACTGAGCCAGAGCCAGATTGCATGGCAGGTGGCTGAGTTGGTAGAGAAAAACCTGGAGTGCAATAAAAGATTGTGGACAACTAAGGAAAATGTTCTCAAACACACACACACACACACACACACACCAAGCTCTACACAGTAGGAGGGCTTTTACTTCAACAAACACTGGGGTGTGTGAACCCCATGTCTAATCTTAATTGGCACAAACAGTGGGACCTGTTTCAAAGCCCATCTGCATAAGAGGGCAGTTTACATTTCATCCTAGGTAGCACCCCCAGAAGGATCCCAAACCCTGACCATAGCAGTTTCTTGCATCAGCATGATGGGCTACAATCCTTTCTGTCTGAAGCATGCAAACACAACTAGTATTTTCTAGCTAAAAAGCACCAGTGTTAATGTTGTTACAGCGGGACCTCGGGTTAAGAACTTAATTCGTTCTGGAGGTCTGTTCTTAACCTGAAACTGTTCTTAACCTGAAGCACCACTTTAGCTAATGGGGCCTCCTGCTGCGCCGCCACTGCACGATTTCTGTTCTCATCCTGAAGCAAAGTTCTTAACCCGAGGTACCACTGTATCTGGGATTCCCTGAAGCTAGACAGATTGGTCTTCTTGTATGAGAGAGCGTGGCTGGGTAAGGTAGAAGTGAGGAAACCTGCAACTCTCCAGATGTTGTTTGTCTCCAACTACCATCCCATCCCCAATCAGCGTAGCCAATGGTTAGCGGTGGTGTAAGTAGCGACATATGAAGGACCATAAATTTTCCATTCTTGGCATAAGGGATGTGTTCATATGAGACAGGTAGCAAAGGAAGCTGCCTTATACTGAGTCAACCTAGGGCAGCGACTCTCCCATGAGTTCAGTTAGAAGTAATCTTTCGCAGCCATATCAGAAGATGCCAGGAATCAAACCTGGAACTTTCTGGATATTTATTTAAATAATTTATATACTGCTTAATCATTAGCATTACTAATAAACCATACAAAGAACAAAACAATAAAAATGGATAATAAAACTTAACATAAACCCAAACACTACCTTAAAGTATCTGCTGGGATGAGAAAGTTGCAAACATATGTTTGTAACAGGAGCAGGAAACCAGATTTAAAGAAATTGTATTAAAGTAATTTGGTTTGATTTGTAATAATTTGGAAAAATAATATTTTTTAAAAAGCAAGTTTGTCATATGCCTGAAGTTCAGCAAGAAGGGTATCTATCAAATCTCAGTTGGGAGGCAGTTCCATAAGCTTGGATTCACTATGCACAGCTTCTAGTAGTTACGAAACATGCATCTGAACCATGGAAGACATCCAACAGAGACTCCCTGAAAGATTTCAGTGATCAGACAGGGATGTAGGGGACCAGATAATCCTTAAGATATCCTAGACCCAAGCGGCTAAGGGTCTTGCAAATTAATATAAGAACTGTGCACCTGACCCAGTAACATGTAGCCAGCTAGTACACATTTTTTAAGCACCAAGGTTACGTTCCTGCCTCCATCAACAGCCCACCCCTAGCAGTTTGCAGCAGCTGGAGCTTCTGAACCAAGCACAAGGGTAGCCCCACAGGCCATAATCAAGAATTGAGGTTACCAGTGCATGAATTACCACAGCCAGGCTATCCCTATCCAAGAATGGCTATTGTTGATGCACCTGCCATAGCTGGTAAAATGTACTCCTAGCCACTGAGGCAATCTGAAACTCAAGTGACAAAGATGGATCCAGGAGCACCCACAAACCTGTTGTTTCAGAGGGAGAGTAACTGGCAAATGGCTCATCTCTCAGACACAGGAACCATCTATCCACAGTACCTCCATCTTCCCAGGGTTTAAGCTCAGTTTATTTGCCTTCATCCCTTCCCCAACTGCATCTAGACAATGTTCCAGACCAAACACAGCCTCTTGTGACTCAGATGTTACGGAGAAACAGAACTGCTCCAAACAGCAGCAGAACCATGCCCTGTGGCACAGCATAACAAAAGGACCATGGGACAAAGATGCAATCTCTCAGTGCTATTCACTGGACATAGCCCTGTACGCAGGAATAGAGCCAATGTAAAAAGTGCCCCCAACACTCATCCCACCATGCTGTTCCAGGAGGACACTGATCAATGGCTTCAAAAGCCACAGACTGGGAGGCAGAAGCACAGGCACATTCCACTTGTCCTGCTCTCAATATGGATCATCTATCCAAGTAACCAAGGCTAATTCCAACCTGTGCCTGATTCCAATCTGAGATGGATCCTGATCGTCTGCATCCTCTAGGAACTCCAGTTCTGCTCTGCCATCACTCTCTCTGCCACCTTGATCAATAATAAAGCAGTTGCTCTACCACTGAGCTATGGCCTTTCCCTTAAAGGTAGAGCTAATGAAAACAAAAACAAAGACTGTGCAGTGTGCTATGATCATTAGCACTTGCTCGATTTCTTCTGGGAATGAAATTTATGCCATTACTTTAAGCACTGAAGCAACCTGGGACACCAAGATCATTTATAATTTGGAAAATACCAAGGGTGCGTCTCCATAGAGTTGCACCTACTCACCTGTTAGCTTTCAACATAATTCCAAGTACCAACACTAACACACCACCTAAATGGAGGCAAGCCCTTTTAACATGCTGTGCCCCACATGTAAAAGAATATGCTGGAGCCATCACGACATGCTATCCAAGCTGCAACAAACTACCAGCATAACTTGTGCATGATGACAGAAACTATTTCAGAAATTTTCTAGCTAGTTCCTAGAAGTCACCAGTAGTTACCAAAACAAGATGCTGTTGAGAAAACAGAAGCCCTTGCAAAAATCAGCACAAATCTGCCTGCTAACACTTTCATGAACTACAGCCCCACAACATGCTCAAGGTTCATTTCAGTGGAAAATTTTTGCGGTGTGCTTAGCTTCAAAACACATCCCTTGGCTGAAGGGCAAATCTGACTCAAAAACAAGAATTTTGATATTCAGCCCCAGAACACACACTCGTAAGCAGACCCAGAAAATCCAGGCTCCCACACTCAGTACTACAACCTGTTATGAAACACCATGCTGCTCTTTGTATTGGGGGGTAGAATGGAAGAATTCTGATGACTAGTCTGTATTTGTGTCACAGCTGCAAACAGAGTTTTGCTTCTCATCCTGTTTTAGTGGCTGTTGTTTACTGCCTACCTTGGCACAGTATTTCGTCCCTCCTCACCCCACCCCACCCGTTTTTACTTTTGTCCACTTAGCTCGGAACTGTTTGCACAAACTTGCAAAGACTCTCCACGATCTGACAGGAGCCTTTCCCAGCCCAGAGTCGAGGGACTGAACATGAGAACTTCTGCCAAACTATAATCCTTCCCAATCCCAGTCCCTTGACCTCAGTTTAGTTCCCCAAGGAGATAGAAACCAGGAAGGGAGTCCATGTGAGGCATGCAGCTAAAGACAGATTCTCACCAAGGCGCTTGCAAGACGGTTCTGAGCAGTGGGCACCTAAATCTGGAAACTCCATGGCGCTGCAACGGGGCTGGAGTCAGCGAGGGATGAGGGGCAATAATCCTACCTGCTGGGGAAAAAACAGGGTTAGAAACTGCGGGATCAGAGCACAGGAGGGAGTTGTCACCAAAGGAGGGAGGAGATGCCGCAGCACCCACGGGGGCAGAGTGAGAAGAAAGAGGAGGAGGAGCTGCAGCACCCATGGGTGCTTCAGCAGCTAACGAAGGGGCGCGGGGCATAGCACCCAAACGGTGTGGAAAGAGAAGGGAGAACAGCATTGTCGGCTAAAGATAAGCCACATAGCAGGAAGGAGGAAAAATAACCCATGAAGAAAACATGAGAAAGCAGGGAGGGGGACAGATCAGTACCAAAAACAGCAGGTAGACTCCGCCTTCTCTGCTGCAAACAAGGAAACCTTGGCTCTTCCCACCCCACCCACTTCCGCTCCTAGGCTCGGTGACGTCATTTTGCAAGGCCCATATGGCCATGCTATGGACATTTGAGAAATTCAATCAGACATTCCTTGTCACTAGCCCCGCCCCGCCCCCGGGAAGTAGCCCCGTTTGCCTCAGCACCGCGGAATGTTGGGAAATGTAGTAGAACGCTGGATGCGCTTCCTGGAGCCGAAGCCGCCTTCTACTCGCCTAGAAGTGGAATGGCGCGGTGTATGATGGTAGCTGAAGTCAATCGTTGCGTAGTTCCCGCTTTTTCCTTATGCCGGGCAGTTCCGTCAGCGTCCCTCATACGCTTGAGTGAGGGGAGTGGGGCGGGGTGCGCTTGAAGCCGCCACACGCGGCATTCTGGTCCCGCCTTAGCCGGAAGTGTCTCTATGGTGACGGCGGGAGGTTCGGGTTGGGCTAGAGGGGGCCAAGCCACCGCCCGCCCCGGAGCCGGTAAGTGGGGAATGGGGCCCCGTGGCCACCAGCGCCGGGTTGCCGCTCGCCTGTCCCTCCCTCCCCGTCTCCCTTCACGAGGGTGTTGGACTCCGCGCCCAGGCGTCCCCGGTCCTGCCCTAGAGCGAGAGTTACGTGCCGGGCTCTTGTTCTCAGGCGCTCACACGAGGCGCGAGACGACACGCGCTCCGCCGACTGAGCTCACTCGAAAGGCTCGCGCCCTCTAGCGCCTTTTCTTTTTGGCCCCAGGCAATGTCGACACGTGGGGACCGCCAGTCTTCCTCCCCACATCCCCGATGGCGGGTTGGGGAAAGTTATATTTCTTTCTTACTACTTTTAGGTTTACGGAATGGGGGGTTGAGAGGAATTCATGGGGGCAGATCTGGGCGCAGCCCTTCATCAGGCTCAAGACAGAAAAAAACGTGGTCATATGAAGGCCTGGGGGGGGGGGTTTCGTGGTGAAGCGTTCAATGACTGGTATTCCATTCTTGTGCAGGTTTTATCTCGAAACATCAGACCCGTGTTAGGAGTTCACAGCCCAATGGTAGACTCGCTCTGCTGGTGAACTAGTTCTATTCGTGGGTGGGCCAGTTAACGTGTTACATGTTGGCAAGCATTTTACCAGTGTCTCCATCTTGTCAGTTTTTTGACTGCTAGTTTGATATAATCAGTTGTTTATTTTTATGCTACCGCTTGTCTGTTAATAAAGCGGTACTGTATTCTCTCAAAGCACGACCGGTTTTGTCATAGTCATCCCTTGGTCTGTTAGGTCATTACATCACACACACACACCCTTTAGAGAATTGCTGATGGTGTGACCTTGATTCCATTTGCTTATGCTAGCTGCAACATTTAGGGTTTTGAAACAGATGTAGTTAAGTATATTAATGGCCCAATCTCAGAGTTTGAAAAGGAGGTGATTCCTGACATGTGCTGCACTCTCTTTCCTGAATTATGTCATCTGTGCAAAGCAACTGAAATAATATGCACCTTTGCTTCCTAGTCAGGTAACTCTTAACAGTTGTGGGTAGTACAACTTGAAGACATTCCATTTTATTACATTGACTGACATATTGCTTTATTTTCTCATATATTCCTAGTGCGTCATTTAGTAAAATGTATTTCTAAAAACCAAGGTTCCCTTCCTCTGCATTTTCTGCTGGCTTGGACTGTCCCAGTCATTGTCTGTGATGTGTTCAGGATTCAGTTTCTTGCAAGTCAACAGTTACACAGCTTTGCTCTGTTTGCTGTTTTTGTACAAGGATTTTTCCAGGTGGGTTGTGTGAAAGTCATTTCCCAAAGCTATAACAATGCTTCTCCACCTCATCTAGCATGTTTGTTTCTTACACATTTTATTTCAGTTTTAAGTACTAAACCTAATTTTTTTCTGTACAGTAGTCAGTGCCGACTTCCAAAAGCTATGGGGATATATCTAATGGTGCCCCTCTATGAACAGAAGTGTCTTTCCATTCTCAGAAGGATATGTGAGTCAGCAGAGGCATCTGCTAATGGAAGATAGAGACTATTTTCATTGATTTCCCCTAGTAGCCCCCCGCATCACCTTCTGTGCTGTTCCACCTTTCCATTAGCAGAGGCTGGATCAAAAACTCTTTCACAAATGGAAAGGCACTACTGTTGAATACAAGCCATAGTATTTTAATCACCTTTTCTTTTAGCATGAATAACAGAATCATAGAATTGTAGAGTTAGAAGGAACTGTGAGGGGTCATGCCTGCAATGCAGGAATCTCAGCTAAAGCATCCATGACAGATAGCCACCCAACCTATGCTTAAAAACCTCCAAGGAAGGAGAGTCCACCACCTCCCAAGGGAAACCATTCCACTATTAAACAGCTTGCTGGATCAAGCCAACATGGTCCATCTAGTTCAGCATCCTCTTTCCCACAGAGTCTAACCATTTACCTCTGAGAAATCCGGCAGCATGACATGAAGGCAAAGGCCCTCTTTTATTGTTCCCAGTATTCCTGAGTTTAGCAATGCTTCTGGTTAAGAAAATATGTGTGCCTATTTCTGGTTCATTGATCGGTCTGCCTGACTTGTCTGCTTTGGGATTTAGTTTGCATACTTCTCTTGTGCAATAAGTGTAGTGCTACCACTGTTACTATTTTTTAACATTTAGCATTTACATTACACCAGCAGTGTACTTAGTGCTAAGCAGAATAGGCAAAGGATAGTCCCTGTTCAAGATTTTACAGTCTACATTCCATGAAGGACACTTGGGTAGGGACGTGTACAAATAGTAAAGATGACCAAGAGGGGACTAGGAGATACTTGTTGAAATACTTTATTGCAGAGGTGGATCCTGAGGAAAGACTCAAAAAGGGGGAAGTGTCTTGACACACTGAAAGGTGGAAGTTGCGTTTGGGTGTTACGAATTTCATGGCTAGAAGAAAGAGCATGAGTTAGCCCCTCTCTTTACCTTAGAGTACTCTAAGGCAACTTCTGTGATGAAATAACCAAGTGGCCTTAGGCAAGCTGTGATTTCTTGGTCTCCCTATATCTGCAATATCGGGAAAATAATACTGTCCTTTTTTTCAAGATGACTGTGAGACATTTCATTAAGATAAGGTATGCAAAATGTTTCAAAGCAACATAAGAACTTAACTACAAGTGAATTCATGATCTGCTTTAGATACTTCAGTATCCTTCTCCCAGGGATTTGGGCAAGAAACCTTAATGGTGTTTTAAGTAGCATTTGACAGGGTAAATAGTTGGAAGTATGCACTACTAGTGTGGGGCTGATGCTGGAAAAGACAAGCAACTCAGGAGAGAGTTACAGGGGCAATATGATCATAGGGAGATGAAATGGGAAAGGTGGCAAGGCAACTCAGGACCAGATAGCTACTTGTTCTTAAAGACATACAGATATAGGTTTGTATTTGGTATAAAAATGCCCAGACAGGTAAGTGTTCTTTTACTATCAGCTGGGGTGATGGAAAATGCAATCCATCTTCAAAATTCATTTGTCTGTTACCCAGTACCCTGCCTTGTACAGTTACATTGTGCACTCTTATTAAATTATAGATGACTAGGCAAGTTGGGACATGTTAATAATTTCAGATATATACTTTTCAATATTACTGTGAAGCAGCTTTCCATATATTTTATTAGCTTGTTGTTGGAAGCCATTGCAACAAATGGAAATCCCTGGTTTTCTTGCTATGTTTTAGGAAAACTCGCTCATATTCACTGCTTCTGCATTTAGCGTTTCCACCTTAACAGTTTCTCCCATCTTCCTATTAGTAGCATAACCCACTCATAAATGACATTCTCAAATATATTTCCTCCTGCTCTCCTCCATTTCATTGGTCAGGACTCAAACAAGCAATTCCAAGCAAAATCCCATTACAGGCTTTTAATGTTCTGGTGGCCTGATGGTGAGCTTTTGCCATTGCTTTTAAACTAGAGTGAAAAGCACACCACTCCTACAAATCTTTAGTACAGTCATAACAGAAGAGGGAACCTTTGGAGTAGCATTTGTAGGGGTAGTTCATTGGATGGAGGCAATAGAAGGAATTAATGCATCCTTATGCTGTTTTTGAACACCGGAGGCGGGGTGTGTGTGCTGGTAGCTCTATTACTAATCATATTTAGATTTTGAAGAGCCAGCAGCTGCTAATTGTGCAACTCTTCTTAGAAGAGCTTTCGGACCAGTAGGCAGTTCTGAGAACTACTATGGTGAGAGTACTCCTTGGAGAGCTCTTTGCTGTGAATAATAAATGGGAATTGAAGTTTTATTTCTCTCGTAAATCAAGCTGGACTTGATTCACTTGATTCGAGTACCTCTATTATGATCAAGGGAGTGGTGTGCCACCCATGTGCGAGACTGAGGCAAGAACTGTGCTTTCAAGAAAAGAGGAAAGGTGGTTCTGTGCCAAATTCAGCAGCTGTTGTTCAAATCCTGTTTGTAAGTAACAAGTGAAACTTTCCAGGGTTGCCATGGTATGCATGGCATACTATTTCACATAATCGTTCTGCGGCATACTGTAGATGTTGTTTGGCAGTGGGTCATATTTGCATCAGCACTATAGCTAATCTCTTTTAAAAGCCCAGTTATGAGATGTGTGGAAGAAAGTGCTGTTGAGAGCATCCTGGTATATTGCTCTTGACCCATAATAATATTGAAGACAGGGAGATGCTCAGATATCTTGATAGGATTCTATGCTTTTGATGTTCCAAAATTATTTATGCAGATTGCAAACTGATTAGGTGATGAGAGAGGAAGGAGGAGGTGGTATGGCGTTTGATTCAAAGTTTGAAATAACACACTTACCTAGGAGCAAGCCCTGTTGAACATGTATAGTATGTATAAATGCTTGTTCTGTATATTTTTTTTAGGGTGTGCTTTTTTGTCTTGATGCCCTTTTTCAAGGTGGTTTAAATTAGTTAGTTAGTTAGTTAATATCCCACTCTTCTTCCCAAAGGAGCTTAGGATGCCAAACAGCAAGTGATAAAACAATAAAAATAATTCCAGTATGGATTCAGACAGCAAAATATTTCAATTCAAAAGGCTGGTTGAAAGAGGAAGGTCTTGAGTGGGCATCCAAAAGACAACAGAGACAGCTCCTGTCTGATATTCAAGAGGAGGGAATTCCTAAGGATAAGTGTCACTGCACTAAAGACCTCCTGAGAAGATGGTATTTGCAGGAGGCCCTCCCTTGCAGAGTACAGTGATCATTTGGGTACATAAGAGAGGTAAGACGATATTTCAGGTATCCTGCTCTTAAGACAGTTGCTTGCCTTTTAATGTCGCTGTCAGAGCTGGCTCCAGGTCCCAGCTCACAGAGGACCAACGCTAGCCGGTAGTAATGTACAAAAGTCTTTATTGAAGTACAGTTTCCATTTTCAAGCCGCAGCGCCCAGCTCTACGTCTTAGAGGCTAGACCGGCAAAGCTCCATCTGAGTCTCCACCCCCTGTACACCAACTTAAGACTCTAATCTTACTCCACCTCTTCCGTCTCTCCTTTCTCCTCTGGGTCCTTCTGCCCCCCGGGGTCTCCTCCTTTCTGGACTCTTCTGACGCTGACGCTGACCCCCCTGACTCCTCCCCCTCTTTTCGGCGGGCTTTGGGACCTGGCTCCCTATCCGGGCTGCCAACTGCGCCGCCCTCCTGTACATTTGAACTTGGCGCGCGCGCCCAGCCTTCAACCTTCCTCTTGACCGTTTCCTCGCTCCCCGATGGAGGCGTGGCCAATCCTGACTCATGTCCTCCCGCTGGCGGTGAGCCGCCTGCTCCCGATACCTGGGACTCCTCCCCCCTACAGCGCTCTAGTGGGGAAGCTGGTCCTGATTCCAACTGCTGCTCTCTGAGTCCCCTCTGGCCCCTTCTTCCTGGGGTGTCCCCCTCGGCACCCCCCTTGCTCTGACCATGGGAGCCCCTTTCTGTGAATCCTCCGATTCGCTGGAAAGACTCAGAGACCTCGGACCGCTGTCATCGCTAACATTTCCTTCCTTTTAATGTCGCTGTCAGAGCTGGCTCCAGGTCCCAGCTCACAGAGGACCAACGCTAGCCGGTAGTAATGTACAAAAGTCTTTATTGAAGTACAGTTTCCATTTTCAAGCCGCAGCGCCCAGCTCTACGTCTTAGAGGCTAGACCGGCAAAGCTCCATCTGAGTCTCCACCCCCTGTACACCAACTTAAGACTCTAATCTTACTCCACCTCTTCCGTCTCTCCTTTCTCCTCTGGGTCCTTCTGCCCCCCGGGGTCTCCTCCTTTCTGGACTCTTCTGACGCTGACGCTGACCCCCCTGACTCCTCCCCCTCTTTTCGGCGGGCTTTGGGACCTGGCTCCCTATCCGGGCTGCCAACTGCGCCGCCCTCCTGTACATTTGAACTTGGCGCGCGCGCCCAGCCTTCAACCTTCCTCTTGACCGTTTCCTCGCTCCCCGATGGAGGCGTGGCCAATCCTGACTCATGTCCTCCCGCTGGCGGTGAGCCGCCTGCTCCCGATACCTGGGACTCCTCCCCCCTACAGCGCTCTAGTGGGGAAGCTGGTCCTGATTCCAACTGCTGCTCTCTGAGTCCCCTCTGGCCCCTTCTTCCTGGGGTGTCCCCCTCGGCACCCCCCTTGCTCTGACCATGGGAGCCCCTTTCTGTGAATCCTCCGATTCGCTGGAAAGACTCAGAGACCTCGGACCGCTGTCATCGCTAACATTTCCTTCGGATTCCTCCCCCTCGCTCTCTATTTCCTCCCTTTCCTGTGCCTCTGCTCCTGAGCCCCTGACAGTCGCATCAAAAATTATCACTTGAAGTGGACCATTTCCCTTCACCATAGGGTGTGTTCTTCATGGATCTATTTTGATTGAATTTTTAACTAGGTTGGATGAGCCTCCTATGGAAGATCTATATAGGAATGGTTCTGGAGAGGGGATAGATGGGCCCTGAATAATGTTCTGTGTTTGAAATTGTATAATCTCATTTCTCTGCTTTTTCTGTTTTTGGTCTCTCAAAATACCTTGAGGATTAATCAGCCTTCAGAACTTGCCTGAGGAACAGTAGCTGGTGGATATCAAGCAACACGTTTACAAAATGAAATTCTATCTTGCCAAGTGCTAGTAACTCAGTGTAGTCTTTGTTTTCCCCCTAATCTGTGTGTAGGGCTTAGATGTCACTACAGATTGGAGATTGTTGTTGGGTGTCGACTTTGTAATCCAATACAGTACATGCAGTGTATCAAGTGCTGCCTTCTGAACTGGAACACACCATCAGAGCTGTATCAGCAATTCATGGGAGGCAGGATGGATGTGTATTGGACATAAGGTCCTTTTTCAATGAGTAACAGTATCACTTCCCACCTCTTGGTTCTCAAGTACACTAACCTTTGATAAACTTTATGATTTTAGGATAGGAAGGGGGGGGGAGGTTCTAGGATGGCCCTGCAGGGTGGTGCTTTTGATGTGACAGCTCACCTGAAAGAGGGCAGGAGTTGTGCGTCACACTTCAGCATGTAGCCTGAATGGTAGACAAAGTCCTGTTCTAGAATGTTATGGATGTTGACAGTTCTTTTGGCAGAGAGGCAGTTTGCTTTGAGATAGCATAGAAGCTTGTTGTCAGAACAAAGGTTAGTGCTGTCCGTTGGCTCTGTACTGGTGTTAGGAACAGAACATAATAACGGTGAAGTGAAACTTCCGGGACAACAATATTTTTGTGAGAGAAGTCAACTGCTAAGAGCCCAAAGTATGTCCAGCCAAAAGAATGTTTTTTAATCAAGTTAGAGACGAGATGTCTGGTATAAATCCTTTTCAGGCTGTCTAGAGGACCATGCAACACCACGTCTGCATCCTAGTACACTGGAGTTCCACACTACTGCCAATTCTGTGAGCTGCTACTGGTTGTACAAGGTCAGCACTGTCCCCAAATAACCTAAAGGGCTTATCACATGAGCAGTCTACTCTAGGGTGGCATGTCTTTATAGCTGAGCAAGTTCCCTTCTCTTTGAGGGTATATTAGATCCACTTATTTTGTCGTCTAATGCATTAAATACCAGCCATTTTACCAGGAAATGGGTGTGAATACACCTTTCTGGCTCAATAGGTGTTGTAGGCATTTTAGTTTCTTTCATATGTATGCTGTGACATTTTTCTTCCTCTCCCTGCCTTCAAATCCACTAGCATCTGTTTAACAAGATTGCCTGATAAGCATCCTAGCACAAAAGGTGAAAGGGGCATATTCAGCATGTTGAGGGAAGCCTCATTGCTAATCCCCTGCTAGTCAGGTTGCTGGATAAAATGGGTGAATGTTATTTTAGAGCCAGGATTGGACTGTGCTTTGCTTGTGCCCCTGCTGCCTCTCTTGGCTCTTTGTACAAGGGACTGTTTGATTGAAACCTAGACTGAATTCTTTCGGCACTGCCTTGATGAGTCATCAGGCATGTGCTGTGAAGAAACAGCCAGCCTCCAGTAGGAACCTAGCAATTTAAATGTCAGATTTTCTTTGGGTAGGAAAGCTGATTCCCAATATTATAATATATATATACCATGTAATGAAAAGGGCAAGGGCAAAGTAATCCATTTAACCTCAGAACATAGGTTAGCAAACACCCCTAACACTAGTTCTGAATATTTTCAGGAATGCTTTCTAGCATGAAGTTTATCACTGGTTCAATAGCCCTTTGGCTATCAAAATGTCACCTTGCTGCTTATCAGCACCCCATGTCATCCTCTGCAAAATGTAGCTTGATTTTGTAGACATGCCTATTTTTCAAACTATGCGTGTGCTCTTGTTCCAACTGCTTGCTCTGTATTCTGGCAAGACGGGTGGAGGACAAAATTGCTTAGAAAAATGACTGAATTATCTGCTCATTCTCCTTTTTGGGAACCAAACTCTGAACCTTGGGACTTCCATTCCCAAGCTCTTCCGCAACAGCTCCAGAAGGATTTGTTGCCTGGCTGGGTAACCAAGTGAAGAACCTATAGTGCTGGAGCTAGGTATAATAAAGTTCTGCTGTTATGTCTAGTTCTGTTCTTGGTTCTAGGCTTTCTGTGGTATAAGATGTAAAAGAACTGGTGGATGGAAGAATCCTGCATGAGAATAAGAAACACAAAGGTGCAAGCAGGAATACTGAGCAATTATTGCTAGCTTATTTGCATTATAAACAAGTGTTTATGTTGTTAACCTCATTCCCCTGCCATCACCTTGCGCAGGAGAAAAAGCCCTTTTCTGGCTGTTCTTCCCTGTAGCACAAGCCTTCCTGGTGGTTTAACAACAACAACAACAACAATATAATATAATATGCCGTCCATCTGACTGGGTTGGTTGCCCCAGCCACTCTGGGTGGCTTCCAGCAACACACACACAAAGTAAAACATCAAACATTAAAAATTTCCCTATACAGGGCTGCCTTCAGATGTCTTCTGAAAAATAATAATGCAGGTCCTTTGTATGCTGTAATCTGGTCTTTTTCTCAGCCTTGATGGCACTGTCTTTCATTAGTCATCTTACCAATGACAACAGAGATTGACTGGAGTGCTTCCTTTGGGCCTCGTAAAGTTCACATGTGTGTTTCTTTCAGGCTGGTCATGGTGAAGATGCTGCTCTGACTCCGGTTCACCAGCTGTACTTACTGAGAGTGTGGGATGGCTCTACATGGCCTCTGTAGGGCCAGAAGCCTATAGCCTTGGCCTCAAGAGGGGAAACCAGTTCCAGGTGGGCATTGCACCAGGGCTGACGGTGCCGCCACTCACAACAAAGCTTCACAAGAGTAAGGCCTGGTACCTTGCTAAGCAGCAGGTGAAGCCCATTTGGCAGCTGGAACAGAAACATGTGACCAATTTTCAGGACCTCCAATCGGTCCACTCAGGGATTTCTTCCCAGCGTCCCCGCCTCTTGTACCCAGAGTCATTATGTAGTGATACAGCGTTCCTGACTTCACCTCCACCTTTGCCCCACGCTCTCCCAAACTTCCTCGGAAGCACCTTGCTCTACCGACGTTCTTACTTCAGACACAAGCCTTATCGGAGGCTTGAGTCCATCTGTTTGCAGCCAACTTCTTTGGAGAAGAAATCTCTTTGTGCTCCGCTCCCTGCCTATCGCTCTGTTCTCAACAACACCATGACATCCTCCGCCATAGACCCATTCTTTATGCCGAATACTGCTGCTGACTGTTCCAATCCAGTGTCAAAGGGGTTCCCCCTAAGCTCAGGGAAGCAAAACTCCAATTCATACAGGCCAGTGCTAAACAATAACTCTTTCCTTCGGCCAACTAGTGCAAAAGTGCCTTTGCAGCAGCAGTACCACCAACCGCTGCCACCAGAAAATAAGAAGCTAAAAGGCTTGTCAAGACCTATTGGCTTCTCTTGGACCCACTCTGGTGGAAATGGAGATGGCGCTCCTGCGAACCTTGAAAGAAAGCTTGGGAAAAACAGTGGCATAACTCTTGAGCAACCCAGTGCCAAATCTCCTCGCTCGGCCATTCACAATGGCGTGGTTCTCAAAGTGGAACGGCCCTCCTGGCGACTCGAAGATGGTGAGAACAGGTCTCAGAACCTGAAAGAGCAAGATGTGCGGTTGACGGAAGCTATGCGGAAGCTGACTGCAAATGGGATCCGGAAGGTTAGCACCTACAACGAATTTGGTCACCGCATTGACAGTTCTTGCCTTATGAATGCAAACTTCCACTCCAGTCTTTTCAATCGATGGAAGCCACACATAGTAGCACAGATCACCCCAAAGGACGTACCAGCTGCCACCTCCCCAAATCTGGAGCCTGGTAGCCGCCACCAGAGCCTTATGGTCACAGAAGCTGCCGATGTCTGCACTAAACGCATCGATGTTCGTTTCTTAGCCTCAAATCCTGAACCTTCCAACCACTGCGCCTTGAGTCAGACTGTCAATCACACCTCTGTAAACGCTGGAGAACAAGTGGTAAAAACAGAGCTGTCCCCACGGACTACAGTCTCTGAGGTAGAGACCAAAATTTCCTCTCTTCAGTTAGGCACGGATACAAAATGGGGGAACCCTGTTACTGTGAAAGAGACCGAGTAAGTACTCTGGCAAATATGTCTGTTGGGGTGGGTTAGTGTTTCCCTTTCAGTACTCTTTGTGGCAATAATTGCCAACCTGTAGCCCTCCAAGTGTTGCTGGATTACACTTCCCATAATCCCTGAATCATTGGCCATGCTGTCTGTCAAGCTGGGCGATATCAGCTTTTCAACAGTGCGGTATATCATCAGCCAAACATCGCAATCTGGTGATATACCGCATTGTTGAAAAAACAAGCTTCATTGGCCTCAGCCAGTGAGGCACCAGGTGAAACTGCCGCATCTCTCACTGTGGGAACTGAGGCGGTTTCACCCTAGTGCCTAGCGGACTAGGACAACACAGCTTGTTTGCATGGCTCAGCTGGGGTGCGGGAAGGCTCCCAACCCCCAGCAGTGCCCCCCCCCCCGCTTGTGTGGGAGCCAGCAACGGGCTGGGGGATCCTTTAACTGCTCGGCTGAGCAGAGCGGCAACCACACATGCCTCAGCTGAGCAGTTCAAAGATGCAGAGGGAGGAAAAAGTTGTATTGAAGCCTTGCCAATGAAGCTTGTTTCTCCCTCTGCACAATATGAGGGCAGAGTGGGTATATCACTGGTGAAACCGCTGCTGTTCCTGAGTCCCTCTGCTGGCAGTGCCTGCTGGAAGGAGCCAAGAGTCTTGACTTCCTCCAGCGAGTGTTACTAGCAGAGGGACTCAGGAGCAATGGCAGTTTCACCAGCGATATACCGCTGAGTGAAGCCGACTTTGCGGTCTGCTCCTCACACTGGCCCTGAGCGATATATTGATATGTCGCCCAGGCCTAGCTGACTGGGGCTGATGGGTGTTGGAGTCCAACAGCATCTGGAGGTTAATCACCCTTTTCTCATGATAAGGACTGTGTTTGATATAGTAGAATACGCTAAAGAACTTAGTAGCAAAGTGTTCCTATGATGTAAGGATATTTAAGCTTGGTCATCAATCGGTGTTTGATACGCCTTGGATGGTTTTGCAGCCTTCACTGTCTCCAAAACGTCTCTCAGATCAGATGACAATTCTGCTTTACCACTGGTAGCCCATTGTTTTGACAAGTGTGCCACAAGTCAAGTCCAAAATTTGCCACTTGAACTATTCCTCCCTTTCTCTCCGCACCACTTCTATCACTAACATGGGTTAATGTTTATAATAGTTATTTGGGATATCTTGCCTTGTCTGTGATTTCTTGGTCTGTTGTTGGGTGTAGAGATCTTTTTGCTTTGCTAACTGAGAGGAGTTACAGAGCTTCACTTTAGGGCTGTAACCCTTTGTGTTGTAGAGCTGCAGTCAACCTCCCCCTGCTGGACCAAGCGGAGGTGGAAGATGTAGAGGAAGAGCTCCCAGACGGCTTGGAAGATGCCTGCAGTCAGGATGAGGAGGGAGAAGAGGAGGATGGGGAAGGTCAGCAGTCACATTTATTTCCTCTCTTGAAAGTACAAACAAGACTACTCACCACACATAAAAAAGGGTTTTCATACACTGATTAGTCTGTTAATACAAATATACTGATTACTGTCATTTCAAAACACAGCTTGAATCTAGTAAAAAGCTAAAAAGCTACTGTAGTTGTCCATGCTTACTATTAGGGCATGGATATATTGCAAATCACTCTATAATATCAAGAGAGAAAGAACTGTATTGCAACAAATAAAATTGCTAGCTTGAATACTATAATTTGCCTTGTGGGCACTTTCAGCCTATGCACTTTCTATACTTGTAAAACTTGTTTTGAGTGATATTTAGTTAACTGCTATTGTAGGCAGACCAACAGTCTGATCTCCATTTACATTTTACTGGTGTATTCTATTAAGCATTCAGTTAATTATTTTCTGGTTACCCAGAGACAAACTTTTTAAATCTACTGTCTTGAAACAGTTCAGAGTGAGATAATTTTACCATTGAATGTACAAGGCCTGACAATATTTCTAGATCATAAACAGCAGTACTAGCATTCAGTACTGAGGCAGAGCAACACTAATTCACTGCTGCTGGAAGGGCTTCTGTATCCTATGCAACCCAGCCAGAAAGGGGGGGGTATAAATAAAATAATAAGTTGTTGTTACTACTACTACTACTACTACTACTACTACTCAGTCTGAGAAGGGAGAGCCCAACCTACAGATATGTGTGATGCTTACAGCTGTGCCCCAGTTTAGCTGTTCCACCAACAAATCTGTCATGGTGGTGGCATATCTTGAATTCTGCAGGCATGATACAGCTTTTGTCAAATCCCATTGCCCCTCAGCTAGCAGATCTTAACTACAGGACTTCATCTTCAATATTCCTGCTAGGAATGTTCTGATCAAACCCAGTAAATACTTGTGTGTGGATTTATTATAATTGTTGCTGTCTTGCTACGGTTTGGGACAATTCTACTCACCCTGAGTATTGACCCATTCTGTCCCCCACACCTAATCTTGCATGAGAGTTTGGAAGAAAGCTGCACTTAGGGTGATTACTGTAGTTCTTGCTAACATTGTGATGTAGCAGCCTGACATTTTCAGCTGTGTTTTAGTTCAACCATTTTATTGCTTTAGTATATTGCACTGTGGTTCAACACTCTTATGATATCCTTTTGTAAATAGAAGGCAAACTTTAACTTATGGGGAGTGATATAGGGAATGATATTCTATCCTCTTCTAACCTTACCATGGGGTCCTTTATTACGGTGTACAAATAAGGAAATTGATGGCTGTGTGGAAGAGCAGGCAAATAATGGATATTCTCTCATTGTCAAGATCCGGGGTCTGATTTGAGGTCATTGTGCAGAAACTATGGTGCCCTTTAAATGTAGCTGCACGGGGGCACTTACCAGTAAGCGGCTCCTTTGCTGCTGGGAAAACTCTGAAATTACGTAAACAAGAGAGGTGGTTTGTTCTTCCAGTTGCGCAACAGTTGCTTGTGGATTAAGTTCAGCTATCTGAGAGAATGTCTAAAAGAGGTTGAATTTCTTCAGGATGTTCATGGAGTGTAGCCAAGATTTTTCACTCATTAAACTATTTTTGCCCTTTTTCTTTAGGTGAATCAGATGGCTCCTCTTCATCCGGATTATCCCCCAATGGTTCTGTAGCTATTATATCCAGGTTCGTTTTAGGAATGTTCTGTCTGTAATGCATTGGATCCTTTTGTTCTTGGATAATCCCATGGGATGGCCACCTGGAGACCCTGATCTGTTTGCCTTGGTGAAATCACTTGGCTTGCACTTGCTGGCTGTGCCCATCTGCAAAGAGAAACAGAGATGCTAAGCAGTCAGGCTGAAAGGCAGCTTAGTTTTCATTCTGGGTTGGTGTTTCTCAGCCAAAGCAAACCTCACTTTCTCAGTCAATGTGTTGGTCAAGAGCCTCAGGAATAAAACTGAATGGCATATGATGGAAAGGGATGTCCCAGAGAAAGTGTTGTGCTGCTCACTTCTCCAACTGTGCCTGGTATTCTTTTCCTAGGAATTGCGTTGAGGGATTGGTGCCTACACTAGAGGGCCAAGAACGAATTCTCAAGCCAGCTCTTACATGCAGCCTGTTCCCCAATGTGCCTCCCACAATATATTTTGGTACCCGGGATGAGAGAGGTAAGGTGGATCTGAATTCATTGCACAAAACAGGCAATGCCAGAAAACCCTAGTGTACTATAGTGCAGTGTTTCCCAACCTTTTTTGGGCAAAGGCACACTTGTTTGATGAAAAAAATCTTGAGGCACACCACCATTACAGCCCCGTGACGTCAGCGCGCAGCGTCACGCCGGGAGGGAAGGGCGCCGGGGCGCTGCTGCTGCTGCTGCCGCCGCCGCTCCCGGCAGGCATGGGCCCAGCTGAGGCGGCGGCGGCTGTTGTGGTGGTGGCGGCGATAGCGGGCGGAGGAGGGGGCGGCGGCGGGGCCGAGGTGGCCGGCGGCGGCGGGGGAGGCGGCGGCGGGTGGAGCAGGAGGGCGGCCGAGGCCGGTGAGGGAGTAGGGTTGCCCGGGGCTTGAGGAGCCGTTGCCGGGAGTTGCTGCTGCTGTTGTTGCTGCTGCTGCCCGGACATGCCGGCCTCCTCCTCGTCCGCTTTCTCGCGCTCCTCCCTTTTGCGCGCGCTGCCCCGCCGCCGCCCCATTGGCCGGGTCCTGTCAGCTGATCCTGTGTTATTTCCTGTGTGTGTGTGTGAGGGGAGAATGGAGAGAGAAACCTCGGCACCACCACCGCGGAGCCGCCCCCGGCTCGACGCGGATCCTCGCCGCCGCCGCCCCGCCTCTCGCTGCCCGACTCGCCCGCCTCCCTCCCACGGCACACCAGGCAACGTCTCGCGGCACACTAGTGTGCCGCGGAACACCGGTTGGGAAACACTGCTATAGTGGTGGAGTGGATTCTAGGGTGGGGAGGTGATGGTGGGATGCATGTGGTCATGTCATTTAAGTGTGTGGTGTAAAGATGCCTTTCCAATGGAGTTACTAAGGTCTCCAGGTGATGTGAAGAGAAAACCTTAAATCTAGATTTATATCTGTGGAGCTGTAGGATTTTGAGATCACCAGCAAAGAGGTTCAGCACTGAAATGGCTGAAATAGCAGTTGAGATGCTGGAAGGTACAGTAATATTTGATGGGCATTCACTTTGACCCTCAATCTTAATCCCACCATAGGTGGAGTATGTATCTTTCCTGCCCTGCCCTATGATGGGGTGAGTGGACATCCAGATTCACTTGTATCAGAGATGGTCTCATTTGTCGTATTTTGCTCTGGCCTGGGTGCTTTCATAGTGGAGAGCAGGCATTATCACAGCATCACAACAACCTTTGGTCTTTGAAGAATTAAAGCTGGTCTTAACCTGTTGGGATGTGCACATAGACCGACTCAGCATGCTTCTTGCTATAGATAGCATAATTTCTCAAACTTCTTGAGCTTAGTTTCACTATCTGCCTTTTAAACTTCTGCCTTCCCCCTCCCCAATTCAGGACTAGCCACCTGTCCCATTGCATAGCATGGAGATCAAGGCAGCAGCTCTTCCCAGATCAGACTGGCATGATTCGGCAAGTAGGGGAACAGCTGCACCCCTGTCCCCAAAATAAATTAGGATCCTCTGTTAGAGGGCTTTCAACCTATCCATTTATTCACTGATGAGAGGAGGGAAGTCCCACCTGCCTCAAAATCCTGTTCCTCCCAGAAACTTTGCACATTCCTTCAGGTGTGTTGTGCTTCTCAGTTTGGGAACCACTGTTCTATGGACAAGTGACAGAGCTTTTGCCAAGGGTTTTCTTTCACTTGGTGATCTGATTCTGTTGAAATTCATTGAATAAAAATCTTACCCTTCTAGCACTTCATGACAAATTGATGTCCTCAGCCAAAGGAGATGCTCCCGTGGTTGGGTTTCCCTTCTAACCTTAGAATTTCTTTCTTTCCTAGTGGAGAAGCTCCCTTGGGAACAGAGGAAGATGCTACGATGGAAGATGAGCACAGTGACTCCCAACATTGTAAAGGCAACGATCTCCAGGTCCCACTTCAAAATCAGCAAGAGTGAGTTGTATTGTGGGAATGGTCTGTGGGTGCATGGTGCCTCCTGCCTTAAATACACCCAGACTCACAGCTTTATCTTGGAATAGTGCTAATGTTTGGAAATGAACTGTCCCACTTTCAGACGCAGATCTTCAGTAGCAGAGCAACAAAAGCTCCCATAGAATTGATTACTCTAATGCACCTCCCTTGCATGGAGGACTCTGAAAGATGCTGCAAATCATGAAGCTGCAGATCTAATTGTGGCTCTTCCGCTGCTTCCCTCTTAAGTCTTGGGAAGCTTCATGGCACTTCTGCCTATGTGTATGCCCTTGGGCAGCTCTTGTCCAGATGGATACTGACCACAAAGTGCTAATGTTTACTGCAGAACAGCAAAAGCTGGAGCATGGTCTGTACTTACAAACTGGGGAAGAATGTTCAAGACATGGAATAAAACTCCATGTCCTAGCAATTCTTGTAGAGTTTGCTTATAAATTTGATGATCTGTGTCTGGTAATGCAGAGCTGTAGCTGCTCTTTCCAGTAGGTTGTTTGATAAATGCAACAAGCCTTCACCCCCTACCCTTCCAATAAGAGGAGACTTAGATAGATAGGGATTGTGGGGGCTTTAATTTGACATCTCCTGCCTGCTCACCTGTAATTGAATATGCTTTGATGTGGCAGTATACCCTGTGATGCTGATGCTACAATCTTTTTAGAGTTGTGTACAGTTCTCAATAGGGTTTATTGTGGCTGCTCATATGAGCCCACTCTTGGTTCATGTGGAAGGGGAAACATGGATAAGGCAGGAAAATTATTTCCAATTCATATTTTCCAAACTGAAATTCTTATATGCCTGAGACTGTTGCATAAACAGAATATATGTGTGTGTGTGTGTGTGTGTGTGACGTTCAGAGAATAGTCTGTGAACTGCCCTATTGCCCACAGGAAACAATGACTGGCTGGGCTGCTGGGGCCATCACATGAAATCTCCGGGGTTCAGAGTTATCAGAGAACATCAGAAGGTATGAGATATGGTCATGACTACAAAAGGAAATATTAAAGAATATAATACAGTGTGGGGAAAGGGCATGAGATGCATTTCACTCTGGCCTTTTCTGCCATTTTCTCCATCTGAGCGCTGCATGTAGCTGATACTTTCCTGTTTTCTGCTGCAATGTTCTCTTTCCTTTAGTCCCTTCATGTTCTCTTGGTGGCTGTGCCTCTGAAGGAGGCAGCCTAGGTTTGCAAGACACTATATGGTAGAAACTTCAGTGCTGGCATGCTTCCTTCATGGGAACTACCTGTTGGGAGTACCAGCCCAGGGGCTTTTGAGGGGGGGGGGCTTGTATGGACAATCTAGGTTCTTGCAGCTATCCCTGAATTTGGAGGAGAAGGTACCCCCCTGTTGAACCTTTATCTTGCCTTTTTACCAGCTAGGATACAGCAGGAAACCTCACTACTCCTTTCTTGTCTCTTCCTTTCCCTCCTGCAGTTGAATCATTTTCCTGGCTCATTCCAAATTGGTCGGAAGGACCGTCTGTGGAGAAATGTGTCCAAAATGCAGTTGCGCTTTGGGAAGAAGGAGTTCAACTTTCTGCCCCAGTCCTTCATCCTTCCTCAGGATATCAAGCTGCTCAGAAAGGCCTGGGAAGATTGTGGGAGCCGACAGAAATGGATTGTGAAGCCGGTGAGGGAGGGCACAGATATGGTTCGACCGGTATAGAGATAGGGGTGTGTCCTTTGTGTGCCTTCTGCCATGGTATAGCCATGCTTTCCCTTGCCTTGCCAGTTTCAGGTTTTCTTGGATGAATCTGATTTTTCTTGGTGCATTTCATTAGGCTTTAGGACTTGTGTTGGGACAGACTGCCTTTGGGATGAGCTCTGTTCTGTTTTTGTATTGTGTGGTTTTTATTCTGCTTCAGATTTTAGGTATTCCGTTTCATGGTTTTAATCTCTGTAAACCACTCAGAACTTAAGTAATTAGATGGTATTGAAGTGCAGTTAACAATAATTAATGGTAATGTAAACTACACCCCCCCACACCTTCCACTATAGCAACAATGCATATTCTCTTCTTATAGATGGACAGTTTCTACTTGTGTATTCTGGTTCCCTCTTGACTATATCCTAGCTTTAGCCCAATAGTCCCTTTGGCTGTCGGTCTCCCTCTTGCTGCAAGTAGGACCTGCACCAGTCTGAAAACCCACCTGTCATCTTCTTCTTCATTCATTTCCTTGATATTGGGAAGGACAGGTGTAATCTTCCCTGGTGCATTGTTTTAAAATATTCTGGGTTTTTATTCTTTGCAATCTTGTAAAGGTTGTGAATAAAAGTGCTTCACATTTGCATTTCCCCATGTCATTGAATCTGAGGTGTTTGTGCATTGAATGTTTTAGGTGAAAAGAGGCACCCTTAAACATGAGGAGAGAAGACTGGGAGACAGACAGGGGGTGCCTCCTTCTGTTCCTAGGAGCCTCAAACATTTCCTAAAGAGAGAGAAAGGCGCCCCCCTCTTTTCATGAGGACTAAAGTATTTTCAAAACCCTAGATATTCTCAGACTTGACAGGTGCCACAGTCTGTACTGTACTGCATGACTACAGCCAGGCGTGATTTTGAAACCTCTAGGGAGTTAGCTTATCAGTCAGTGACAGCAAGGAACTCAAAGCTGCTATACACCAACTTGTGAACGTACAAAGCTTTTATTGACTTAAAAAGCCTTTGCTGACATGCTCAGTCTTTGAAAAAGCTGCCACAGTAATTGATTTTAGCATACTGCTGAACTTAAAATTACATTGAGATTTTTGTGAAGCTGCTTCTTTGGAGGCTTGTCTTAAGATTGATAGTATTAAAACAAATTCCTTTCATGTACCCCACCTTCCCAGACTATAATCGGATGTTCCAGCTTTGAATTGTAGGATAGCAGCAAATGGATGCAATGTGAACATCGCTCTCTGTCTTTCACTCACTTTAGCCAGCATCAGCTAGAGGCATCGGCATTCAGGTCATCCATAAGTGGAGCCAGCTACCCAAGCGCAGGCCACTGCTGGTGCAAAGGTAAGCAAGTCCCCCTGGCCTGCCAGTCTTTCCCCACCCTGCAAACGAAAGATTGGCTTTAATATCTTAAGGTATCAAAGAACCAGCTTGTTTCTGATTATGCTTTCTGCCGTTGTAAAACTTTACATTGTTCTGTGGAGTTTGTTTCTTTTGCTTCTGCTTCCAGCTAAAGAGCAATTGTGGAATTGCTACAATATTGACATGGGTTCAGAAATATGGCTAAAGTAGACCTTTTGCTGTGGCAAGGAGTAGCATTTGTTGAGAAAGCTGGCATTTCATCAGCAGTCTCTCAAACCCCTTAGGGACAGAAACCATCTCCATCAAGCCTCTCCACTAGTGACAATATCCTGAAATTCTTGAGACTAAATCTCTGGGCTGCTCTATGATGTGGTTCCTGTATGCTCACCTATCTTTCTGTTACAGGTACTTACATAAACCCTACCTCATTGGTGGAAGCAAGTTCGACTTGAGGATTTATGTTTACGTCACATGCTATGATCCACTTCGGGTTTACTTGTTCAAAGATGGACTTGTTCGTTTTGCCAGCTGCAAGTAGGTTTCCTATGAATTGGTAACCTCAGAAAAAGAGTTGGGTTGACTGCTTGTCAGAAGACCAGCTGAGATTCATGAATAGCAGATTAAATATGTTTTCTGAAAACAGTAGACTATTGGTTGCAGGTGTCATTTGTATGGCAGCCTGTGCACATCCTTTTGGTTTAAGCAGTGACTATTGAGAACCAATTATTTGCTTGCACTGTGTAGTGAGTCTGTGTGCTTTTAAAATAGCCAATTATTAAATTTTTTTATTTTATTTTATTTTATATTTCATAAAACTTACATACTGCTTGATTGTTTAAAAAATCTCAAAATGGTTTACAAAAAGATAAAACAAGAAAATCAAGAAAAAAATTACAGCTGTACTTTAAAACATACAAAAGTTAAAATAATAAGACAGATTATAATTACCTCAAATTCCTAAGCATCTGGATGTTTAGTTAACTGACAAAGTTGGCGAATAACTCAAGTCAGAGCAACTCTTGATGATTAACAATTTGAATTGTTAAACCAGTCATATCTCTGTGGAGCACACACATTCATTCTCATTCTCTCTCACACACATGTGCACACATACTAGACTGGAGCTTAGAGGAGATACTTAAAGATTGGTGTGTGTGCCTCTCTCTTTTAGCTCCCACACTGCTAGCATTCCTCCCTCTTCTTGCCATTTCATTTTGATGAGTGTCTCCTTACTTAATGTAAACTTTTGTTCTTCCTTCACCTCAGATATTCCCCCTCTGTGAAGAGCCTCAACAACAAGTACATGCACTTGACTAATTACAGTATCAACAAGAAGAATATTGAATACAAGGCTAATACAGATGAAACTGCATGTCAGGGTCACAAGTGGTGGGTATTGATGAGCAGGAACGAGAATCCTTTTTTATGTGTTATGTTCTTGACTGGCTTATGTTGTCTTACCTCTCTAGTCCTGAGTAGCCCAGATGTGGCCCTACTGTTTCCATAGGAAAGAGACTTTATTTTCATTTATTAAACAGAATGTATAGACCACTTAATCAAAAAAGAAAGGTCTCATAATTGGTTTATATAAAATTACATTAAAAACATGGTTGGTTCTGGGTTCATGTTGCCTTTTTCCTTCAGAGATGGGGGGAGAGGAGTTAATAACACTATCTGGGGCAACCCTAATGCACTTGTATGCTCTGTTCTGTCTCCACAGGGCACTGAAGGCACTTTGGAGTTATTTGGCCCAGAAAGGAGTTGACAGTGAAGCCATCTGGGAGAAGATAAAAGACATTGTTGTCAAAACCATCATTGCGTAAGTCTCAGGATCTAGTTGTGTTTCCCCCCGCCCTTTGCTTTCAGGAGGACCTCTTTATGATGTGTCATCTTATCTACTAGCTAGAGATGTGTACCGATGTTTGCAGATGTTTGGAGCAAGTGTGCATCTTTGCTTCTTTCTTGCTGATTTGTGCTTCTGGAATCAGATTCTCCTACTGTATTGTTTCTCGAAGGTTGTTGATTGTTCCTTGGCCCCAAAAGACTCTTGTTTGGATCTTAATAATCTGAAGCAAGGAAGGGTCATGTGCTGTCTTCATCAGGCTCTCATCTGAGCCATGTGGGGAACCATATACCTGGCTAGAGTGATGCGTAAGAGGCTGGGAAGTCCTGCTGTTAGTTTTGCTGCTCAGGAACAACCCAGCACCTGTTTCATTTTCTAGATCAGAGCCCTACATAATCAATCTCGTGAAGATGTATGTGAGACGCCCTTACTGCTGCCATGAGCTGTTCGGGTTTGATATCATGCTGGATGAGAACCTTAAGCCATGGATTCTGGAAGTCAATATTTCCCCCAGGTAAGTTGTGCATGGTGCACCTTTCAGCTTGCGCTCTGACTTGGTGCATTTCACTACAATTTCAAGAGCACCCTTTACCTCCAGTTTGTCCCACAGATGCATGCTAGGCCTATATGCACAGATGCATGCAGTCTGTTTTGCCAATGCCTTACTTCATGTGCTGATGGCTTCCATCTCTTAATGTGAGGGAGGCAACACTTACATTGAACTGGATCACACAGTGTGTCTCTGATTGGTAGGTATGTCTGTGTATTGTGTATGCATGTGGGTATGGTGGGGGAGGGGATACTAAAAGAGAGAGAGATTGTCTTGCCTTGGAGATTGGGTCCTCCTTTCTCTCTTTTGGAAATCAAACTTAACAGCTATCTAAAATGCCAAAAGCTAGGGCCAAATGAAGATGGGCTTGTCCAATCAAGGTTTTGTTCTTTCTGCAGCCTTCATTCAAACTCTCCTCTGGATGTGAGCATCAAGGGTCAAATGGTCAGAGATGCCCTTAATTTGGCTGGTTTTCTGTTGCCAAGCACAGATGATGTGGCTTCACCCTCTGGAAGTGCCAGCAGCTCCACAACTAGGTTAGAGGTCAAACTCAGAAAGAGACGTTTTACTGTTCTTGTTCAGTAGGGGAGTGAGAAGGCCTGAGTTGGAAGACTGAGATGAAAAGTTGTTGTGGCAATAGTATGTGTGGCTATAGTACAGAAGCATAGCTGTAGCCTGTATATAGGACTATGCATTTTATTCAGTCATGCTATTGGTACAGAAACTGAATTAAACATCCAAAGAATCTCTGCTTTTGTTATTTTTAAAGCAAGTTTCTAGTCCATGAAATTGCAAGATGGGCTTGAAAATACCCAGGCAATACCTCGTGCAACCTTGGAAGCTGAGCAGCGGTGGTGATCTCAGACATATTGCCAGGAATACTGGGCTTCGGTAGCTGGAATTGTGTATTGCTCCCCAATTCAGCTCAGCCACAATAGTTGTCAGGATGGCAGCAAACACCTGGAGGGCACCAGGTTGGGGAAAGCATGAAGCAGGCTGGTGAGGGATGGGGCCTGGGGAAGGGAGCATGGCTTGGGAAGAGTCCTGGGGCCCAGATGGAGGGGCTGGAGGGTTGCACACTGCCCCCATGCCTAAGGTTCCCCATCCTTGACCTATGTCTCCATGGATCGTTTGAGGCTTTTTTCGTTTCTTTTGGCTTAACAGAGTATTGCTTATGATTCTGGCTATAGGTGGCTGAATTGAGAGCACTGACTAACTCTGTACTAACTTTAATTATTGCTGTGCCCAGCTTGAATAGTGTCGCAAAGGAGAAGAGTAAGTCATCTCTGGAGCTGTTCACTTCTGAGAAAACGAAAAGAGCTTTTTATCTGACCTCAAAAGTGCCTGATCAGGTAGGCGAGAACATGCCTTCCCCAAACACTCTGCCCTCATTCTGAGATCTCATGCATGTTTGGGCTGGAGTTCTCCGCTCTTCTTTGAATCATTTCATTAACTGTTTAATTAAATGAAACCATAAGTAGTGTGCATAAAACAATATAAAATCATCAAACAAGTATACATAACTAAATTATGTTTCTCGCTAGGCTTGCTGAAATAAAAAAAAGTTTTTAGCAGGGGTGTAAGGGTGCCTGCCTAATATTACTAGACAAGGAGTTACAAAGCATAGAGGTAGCTACACTGAAATATTGACTCATACTAGCAGATGATCATTACAATCGCTTGGCTTGGGGAGTGCTTAAGAGTTCAACCAAGCTCTTTTTCTGACAGAAAATGTGTCCCAACAGGTAAGATGCATCCACACACAAGGAGGAGGTGCTTGTTTATTCACTGAAGGACTGGTATCTGAAGGAGGTTGTATTTGACATATAGGATATGATTTGGCTAAGTGTGGAAGTTATAAAGAGCTGTATTTCAACTGTATTCAGAGCAAGGCTAGTGTCAAACCTTAAGCCCCTCAAACACACAGCATAGCTTAAGAAAATGTTACAAACTACAGTGGTACCTGGGGTTACATACGCTTCAGGTTACACACTGCGCTAACCCAGAAATAGTGGGTTAAGAACTTTGCTTCAGGTTAAGAACAGAAATTGTGCTCCGGCGGCAGCAGGAGGCCCCGTTAGCTAAAGTCGTGCTTCAGGTTAAGAACAGTTTCAGGTTAAGAATGGACCGCTGGAACGAATTAAGTACTTAACCCGAGGTACCACTGTATAGTTAAGACCCAATAGGCCATAGCCACTGGTTGCCATTGTTATAATGGGTGTGCCTTGAAGCAGTAAGATTTCCCATTTCTTACTTACACACATGCTTTTTGGTTTAGTTTGTTCAAGGGGTACAAGAAGCATTTGGGAACCATAACCAAGAACCCTGCCTTTTCTTCTTCACCCCCCCCCCAACAAATTCCTATTTGAATATCTCTCTTCTGTCTTTCCACTGCTGTCACAGTGGGAGGGGAATATGTGTTGCGTGGCCACCATCCTAGAGTGGCAATCATAGTGGTTTTAGAGAACTGAAAGTGGCATGCATGTAGACTTGTGCAGTTACCTCCTGGAAAACCAAGGTGTTTCCCTGTCCATCTTGGCTGCAGGAGTTCTATTCTACCATCCTAGATGTTCTAACACCAGATGATGTACGTGTCCTAGTAGAGACAGAGGATGAATTTGCTCGACGTGGACAGTTTGAGCGAGTTTTCCCCTCGCGCTTCTCCATGCACTACCTACGTTTCTTTGAGCAGCCGCGATATTACAACATCCTTACTTCCCAGTGGGAGCTGAAATATTTTGTGAATAAGATCAAAGGTAAAAAAGTTCCCATCACCTCCTTCTTGCAAGCTCCCTTCTAGGATAAGCAGTTAGTTGTTTGATCCAGCCCTTTATAAGTAGACTGCATACCTTTCTTTCTAACCCAGAGCTGTGTGTGCTCTTTCACATAGCATTATTATCTGTCATCCTTACAGGTTGCTAGTGTGGTTTGAGTGTTGCTTCTTGCTGGGTCATTTCTGTCATCTTCCCCACTCCCCACACCTTGCAGCCACGTCTTTGGCTTTAGGGCAGAAGTCTCACTTTATTCTTGCCCACCCCTTTGTCCTTTCATTGGTTTCTATTGGCTATCTTTAAGCCCACACCCTCACCCAGAGCCTTCCTGTGCATCAGTGTTACCTGCTTCTCTTGAGTGTATCCAGATAATTCCATAGAATAGACCAGGAAATTTCACCATCTTCAAATGAGCATCATACCATTGCAGCTTGATTTTTAAACCTGTGTGTGTGTGTGTGTGTGTGTGTGTGTGTGTGTGTTTGGGTTGCTCAGTATCAAGGCCCTGCATTACTTGTACCCACTGCCTTCTTACATCCAGGGCAATTTCTTAGTAATAGTCCTCAAAATTTCACATGTGAACTAACATTCATTCTGTGGTGTTCCTTTCTGCAGGGGTGGATCTGCTCAGAAACTGGTGTCACAAAGGCTTTCATAATGGAGTGGTGACAGAATCCACAGTGATGGTAAGGGTGGGCTCTCTTTGCCTTTCCTCATACCTTAGATTTGTTCTGTTTTTTCATGAGGGTGCCAATCAGAACTACTTTTTACTGATCAAGTGGCTCTATATTTGTGGCTGTCTTACTGGCCTGAAGCACCTTCTCTTTGCTTCACTAAGTTTGAGGTATGCTGGGAGATAAGAAAGGAACATTCACTAGCTGTCTAACTCTGCACTCTCTCAACTTCAGTGGTCAATTCCAAGATCCCACCTCTATATGAAGAATGAACTCCCTGTGAATGGCTTGAGCAAGATGGAATTAGGCAGAACCAGGTGAGATTGCGAGAACCAGCCACTGTTATCTCTTGATACATTTCCAGTTGGGGTTTGTCCATGATTTTTCATCCATTCCCTTATAGTGCAATTCTTTGCAAGTCTGCTCTGAAGTAATCCACACTGCATTCAGTGGGACTTATTCCCAGGTGGTTGTGGGATTGTAGCCATGGTTAATATATTTTAATGCATGTTAACCTTCTCATGAATACATGGAGAGAAAGGAAACTCTTCTTTGTTACTTATATGCCACCTTTACATTTATTCCTTACTTCCCTCCCCTGATATATTACCCTTTTAACAAGCGTGATCTTAACTGTTTATGTGCTACTTTCTGCCCCTGTTAGGATGTACCAAAGGATTAAATTAGAAGCATCTGCTTCTGGGTTTAAACTCACTGTGGTTAATCATTATATCCAGTAAGGGCAAACTATAGTTAGTTTCAACTGGGCTTTTTCAGTGTGGTGCCCACTGAGGCACTCTGCAGTGGCTGTGAGACTTTTCTGCCATTCTGACTTGCAACTCCTGCTTTAAAAAAAATCATGGATGCTGGATACAGTGCCAATCTTAATTTTCCCTGAGTAGCCCTGAGCCCATGTATGGTCAGGCAGCTTCGGTCATGTAGCTACAAGCTAGGATTTCGTGTTAAGTTCAAACCAGGCAACGGTCTTAGTCTTTTACTTCGGTCTTTAGTCTTTTTACTAAGACTAACGGTCTTTAGTCTTTTTACTTTGGTAAATATCTGACATAAATAATTATTTGTAGCATTTTTATACTAACCTGTAACACTAAGTATTCTGGGCAGTGTACTTTAAAAAACACACACATGTAAAATGTAAAAACAACATGAACACAAAATCACAAACAAAGCTAAAACTTCAAAATAAAACCAGCAGCAGAGGAACCAGTAGTACCCAATGTCTAAAAAACAACAACCACATGTTTTGACCGTGTTTTTAAGTAGGAAAGCCTAGCTGAATAAAAGGCCTTGACCTATGGCCACTGAAAAGTTGGCACCTGCCTCACCTAACCTCACTTGGCAGGGGTGGACTTTTAAAGATGATTTTCAGGTTGGGCTGGGTATATATGGGAGGAGATAGTCCTTCAGATAACCTCCCCCCAGGTTATTTAGGGCAGCAATAGAGAACCTGCAGCCTTCCAGTTGTTGTTGGCCTTTGTCTCATTCCAGCCAGCATGGCCCCATGGTCAGAGATGATTGGAGTTCTAGTCCCATAACATCTGGAGGGTCACAGATTCTCCATCTCTGTTTTAGGGCTTGAAAAGTTAATACTTGCACTTTGAATTGTCCCCTGGAATAGATTAGAAGCCACTGTAGATAGCAAAGTACAGGCATGATAGAATTTTTCAGCCTCTCCCTGTTAACAATGTTGCTGCCCTGTTTTGGAGCAGCTGAAGTTTCTAGACTGTTTTCAAGGCAGGCCAAGGTACAGCACATTGTGGTAATCAGGCCTAGGCAGTGGTGAGCCATAAGCCCTAAATCCTTCTTTCCCATCAAATACAGGGATGACACAGTAGTAGTAGTAGTAGTAGTAGTAGTAGTAGTAGTAGACTGCTGTTTCCTTCAGACGGGTGAAAATGATATGCTATGAAAGTGGTTCTCTCTGTCTGTGCTCCATTCTGTGCTGCAAGACAGATCTGCCTCTCTCTCAAGTTCTGTCTTCTTCCCAACAGCAAAATCCTTGTCCAGCGAGATGGGGAGGAGCCAGTCCGAAGCTCTGAGCCAAACCCTTGCACTCAAAGCTTACCTCAGATTAAATACACAGCTGGAAGTCTCAAGAAACCCACAATCCCTCGGACCCTCAGCAACTCAAGCCTAGTGAAGTGACAGGGGACTGAGTGAGTGGCCAACTTCACCTTCCTTATGGTCTCAGGAGGGGGCGTACATGACCTACCTCAACGGAAGCTAGGAGAGCCAGCATGGAAGGATGGGAGGACCTTTCGTCCGGCACGCCCACGTAGAACTATTTTTTTGGAAAGGGAATTGAGTCGAAGAGGAGATGTTTAACTTGGTTAAAAGGGACAAATGCTCTGTTTATAGTTTTTTTTATGACAAAGGAAGTTGCTAAACACAGAAGCTTGGAAAACCTATTTAACTTTTAGTGTGAGTTCCTTATAGTTTATTGACCTTGCCGTGATCGTCACCACTTGAGCCTTAAGTGCCTCTTGCTGTTAAGTGCTGACATGCTAGGTTTCGCCAGACACTGACAACCTCAATGACCATTTGTGAAATGAGCTGCTACCATGAGGCAATTGCATGTTTGCAATTGACATAATAACCCATGTATTCACAACATGACACAAATTCCTTATTAGCTGAACAGTTGGGAAAACAAACTTTAGAATGGCTTAACACCAGTAAATCAGGCAGATTTTTTCATAAACTCTCTGGTGCATGGCCATAAGAGAAAGAGGCTTAAACAGTGAGGGAGGGGGTGGGGAGTCCTTGAATATTCTTATTCTCTAGGTACACACCCATGTTTACTTAGTTCCTGGGTACAGATTTCCTGATGGACTTTAGTTATGGAAGGTATTTTCTACTTACTTTTTATTCTGGAGAAGCAGATTTTGCAGTGTGCTGGTCCAAAGCACAACTGTGTAGCTTAAGCACTGGTGGTGGGTTCTAGCTTTGTGCTGGGACTCAGAAAAAGGTGTGCTAAGGTGGCTGCTTCTTGTTCCTCTCTGGTTTAGGGTCAGGTGGTTATCTGTATTAATCCTCCTAGCATTCATATACACCCTAGAACACTCTCCAGTTCTTTACCCCTAAAGAAGACTATAATTTAGCCCAAGTGGTGCTTGGCTGTATAATTCTTGCTTTAAGTACTGCAGCCTCAGTCAATGTTATTTCTCATCAGTCAGTGCCTTCTCCCTGCTGCTGGAGAATTCTGCCTTTTCTCCACTTGTTATACTTTACTCCTAATCCGAATCTGGTACTGGATCCCAGCTTTGGGTACACTTTTCAGTTGTGTGCGTATGTCCGGAATGTGTTGGTAAACTTGCACTTACAGCCAGCAAGGGCCATTTGCTGACCTGATCCCTGGGCACTGATAGATGCCTCTCTTGCTCTACTTGACTCCTGATACCTACACACTTAGGAGCATTTCCTGCCTGTACTCAGACACCACGTGCAGGAAGCTGCTAAATCCTGAGCCTTGAGGGTGAACTCAGCAACTTTGGCTGCAAGAAATATTTCTGTTTAATGAAGGATAGGAGTCCTTTTGTCTCATTTTACACACACACACACACACACACACACACACACAGTCAGATGCTATGGACAGCATGAGGCATGCATCACACTGTGCAGTCTTCTATTTTTTCCATGTAGCAGTAATGATATTCCAAATGCCTGTAAGTATTTCTCACTATGGTGGTGAGATGTGCTTAGGTGGCTACTTGTGATATAAATGGCCAGAAAAAGGAAGGCATCATTCCTACAGTGCATCTCTCCAAATAGATTGCTTCTCCATTGGTCAGGGCAGTATTTATGAATCACACAGTCCTGGAAATCTCCTGGATACAGCAGCTGTAATCTAGAATATAGATGCAATGTGCATTTATTGTTAAAGTGGTTCAAGTCATTGCAGAGGGGTGTGAGATTCCCCGGAGCACATAACACCAAAGCAACAGGGCACCTCTTTCTTACTACATCTGTCATATGCTTATCCTAAGTAACTTCAGTGACTAAGCTCTTAGGAGCAGAAAAGCTGGGAAACAGAGTTGGAAGCCAAGCCAGGCAGACTGGATGTAGCTGTGCTTTCTCCTGGGGCCTTAGCAGTAGAAGCAGCAGCAGCTCTCCTTGCATCATGCCAGGGAATGAGTTGCTAGAAATCATTTCAGAGTCTGCCTTGCAGACAGCGACTTACCTTGCATTTCTGTCTTACTTCACTGGCTGTATTAACACAGGTATCTATCTTGGTGAGACCTTTATGGCATGATCCCCTGAATTAAAGCTTCTTTCCCCCTTGGCTTGTTATTTCCATCCCCTTCAGATTCATCATAACTTCTCTCCAGCTTGGCTCTTCTCTTAGCCAGCTTGGCTGTCGCTGAGGTTGGGAAGATAGAAGTGGAGACGGCTTGCTTCTTCCGAGTTCATACTCTATATGTTCCTGGCTACTAGCTTCATCAGTTGACAGTTATCAACCTTCCCTGCAAAACTTTGTAAACAGAGGGGAAGGGTGTGTTGCACTAATCTCTATTGCGAGACAGCCTTTTCTCCAAAAGGCCAACAGAAGACAGTCTAATCCTTTAGGAGATTTGAGTGTTTAATTTTTGTTTTAATTTCTTATGCCCTTTTTGCAAGCCAAGCCGGGCAGGTGCTGAAACAAGGGTAGAGGGAGAGTTGGCTTCCTACTGCTAACATCCTCAATATATGTTCAGTTTTAACTTGGTTAAAACCTCTCTCCCTGTTAGCCTGGTACACAAAAATGAAGGCTTGCATTTTGAATCCTCTTTTAGGAGCCAACCTATGTGTCCTAGCCCTGCAACAGGTTTTATTTAACTGTCCCCTACTGAAAACTGAGTGTCATGTCCCTTCTTTGGGCTCTGTAGGAGGTTGGTGCCTAATGTGTCCCTCTCAAATCTCATAGCGACAATCTTCTGTGAACTAGCCTGACTCCTAGGATTGTATTGAATGACCTAAAAGAGCTAGCTGTGTAGAAGTGTGAAAGTGGAGAGGCCTCTTCGAGTGTCCTAAAGAATTCTCCCAGCTGGCCGTCTCCCTGAGTCGCCTTATACTCTTGCCACCACCACCCACCCTTCCTGACTTGAGTAATTACGAGCAAACAGGTGTTCAGCACTCCTCCAATGTGGTCTACACAGCTATCTCTGTTTCCTGGTATTAACAGGCATTGCTGGTTCTCTTCTTCCCCCATGCCCCATCAGTATTTGAACCTTAGGTGGGTACTACTCTGCACAAAATGTCATGGATCGCTCAATGTAAATTGGTGGAACTCAAGAGATCTAGGGAAAAGGCATTGCATTTCTGGCCAAATATCACCCTTCAGCTCAGTGGTAGAGCATATGCATATGCTTTGCATGCACAAAATCCCAGGTTCCCAAAAAAGGTGGAAAAGACTCATGGCTGAAACCTTGGAGAACCTCTGCCAAGTCACCATAAACGGTGCTGAGGTAGATGGACCAATGGTCTGACTCAGTATAAGGTAACTTCCTATGTAGTGCTTTGTAATGAACTTATTTCCTTGTCCTGGTGGTTTTCTTTTTCCCTAAAGCAAACTATTGCAGTAAATAGAAGCCTCATTGGTTGGTTTTATCTTGCTAAGGTGGATCCTCCAAGCAGTGTGCTATAGAGCTTGATACTGACAGAAGAACGAAAAGATGTGCTATGACTTGTGAGGAGCCACCCTATGCAGAAGGGCATAGAATTCTGCATAAGTGTTTCAGGAATGGAAGAAGATTGCTCTGGGATAGAGGAGAAGCCATCCCAGCACCTTCCACATTTCGGGATTTGAAGCTCGAGTAGCTGCTGTCTCAACTTGCTCAACACAACTATCTTCTTCAGATGGATTTATTCTTCTCAGAGTGAAATGTCAGTGGTCAGTTTATTGCTGCACGGAGGGCACTAGTGGTTGTTTGGGTCTTCTGAAGTGTGCATCGGAAGGATCCAGAGGAGGATATACATTTTCAAAAGGATGCCATGAGTCCAATTTAACTCACACTGCTAAATTAAAGATATTTTTTTAAAAAAACAAAATAAAGGATTCAAGTGCAAGTATGTGGTCATGACTGTTGTGATATAACTCAGGTAATTTTGAGTGCTTTAGGGATTTTTGAGTCTAGGTGAGCCCTGCTCCTCTAAGCTGCCACTAAGCAGGTTTGCTTATCTAAGAAATACTGTACAAGCAAATTTTCTCCAGGTTGGTATTTAGACCCTGGAAAGCCATGTGAGTTTCTGCTGTCAACACCAAATTCTTGAGAGAGGAATAGGAGAACAAACATCAACCTCTGTAGAGTGATTGCCTCACTTCACCTAAATTTCTTATACAAGGCCCAATTATAGTGAATCTAATAAACTGACTGAGGTTAAAAAAAAGTGGGAAGAAAGTGTGGAGCAAATACACTGCTAGATAAACTTCCTAGAATCTGGCCCATTTTGCTATGGCTTAACACAAATGAGCAAATGGGCATGTTCCTGGAGAGAAGATTGTGGCCTTTTTCCTGCTCTGGTCCTGGTGCCGCTGCGCTGATTTGAGCTAACCTACAGTTTGGCTTAGTGATGCATCCAAACCACAGCTTGTGGTTTATATTGCTCCAAACAGACCATGAGTTCTTGGCAATGTTTGTTCCGTGGCTTACCACTCATGGTTTGTCTGGAGTGAGAGGAACGACGAGCCCAGATTGAGAAGTAATGCTAAGCCAAACTGTGGTTTAACTCACAGCAGCTTGGCTGCAGTAGCAGCTATGGAGGAGGGCTACTCCATAGTTTGACTTAGCATGGTGTGAAAACTGGGTCTGTCATAAATCATAGCTTTTCTGCTCTGCAAGCAAAGAAAACTGGTTTGGTTTTTTTGCTCAGCATAGGAGGTAGGAATAGCATATGTGTGCTATTCCAGGCAGATATGCAGTTGTAATATATCTGATTTGCTTAAGCTGCCATAATGTCATGTGGGCAAATCTAATTAATCTTTTATTGCCTAGCAAAAAACAACCACCTTACAGTCTTTCAGAGATATCCAAACAGAATCTATAATTCACACAAAACTATCCTGTCGATTAGATTCCTAATCTCTGGGATTTGTGGCCACACTTCCTTTAAAACAGCTACTTTAAAAGTTACAGACTCAGCAGTATTGCTAAGCAAATACGTAGATAAGTTTAAACAAGCCAACCAGCCACTTTAGCCAGGTTATGTAGCCAGCAGTGCATCTCCTGGAAATATATACAAGGGGCAGTAGTTCATAAAACACAGTTACACTGATGGATGTGTCCACTGGTTGAAGGCAGAGCTCCAAAAGCTGCTTCAGTGTTGAAGGTTTTTAAATCCAAGAGATAGTTTACTGGCATATCTGGATAAATATGTGAGATTTTGGAAGAAGAATGTGAGGTTTGAGAAATCTGACAGCTCTCCAGAGTTTCTTGCTGCTTAATATGTCCAGCTAAGTTTCAAAATTGCCCTGGCTTTCAATAAACCTTGATTTCATATGAGCACTTTAGCAAAGCCACCATTATTCAGGATATTGTTGAAGTACGGCAATCCATAACTATCTTCCTATGGTCACCATACCTCTTAGGCAGAGTTTGTGTAGAAGCAGCATATGCATTCCAATCTTAAATATCATAGCTATACTCTTATGGTTTGCTTTCTGTTTTGCCGCCACCCTATAAAACAAGGAGAAATTGCTCTGGTTTCAGAGTAGAGCAGCATTAATCAAGTCCTCCAGCTCCTTTATATCTTGAAATAGGAGTAATTGCTTTTGAGGTGGGCACCTTGAGGCAAGCAAGTTGGTTTAGAGGCCTAGAACATCTCTAGCAATACATGTCAACTCAAAATTGAGTATTCTTCAAGACCGGCCACTCTCAGGTAAGTGAGTATAAACTAAACTAAAGGTCTGTAAGTAATTTTTGCTGTTCGATGGCCACTAACCGATATACAAACTTTCCTAAGGACTACAGTGGATGTGTGCTTCAAGGGGGAACAGCCACAGTTGTCTTCAGCATCCAAAGGGTCCTTGCTGCAATGTGAAATCTGTTTTGGCAGCCAACAAAGTCTTCTCCAGCATGCAAATCTCCTGCTGCCGCCAAGCCTATATTTTGGGTGTGTATGCTGATCTATGATCAGATCTCCCCAATGCTTTTTTTTTAAAGTTACATTTTATAATGAGGAAAAGGCTGCTCAACACCCTGTCTGGTGTTATTTTTCCACAAAGCGCAAATTTACCCCTTTTAAACTGGATATTGCATTTTGCTGCATCTTTTCTTGGTCACAGTAAAGGTATTACCCTACTGTTAGTTTACATTTTTTGCTAGAGCACACACAGCTGCTATTCGGCTGCAAAGGAAATGCAGGCACCTCCACACTACTTTGCTTGCTCTGCGAAGTGTAAGGTTTTTAACTTTTATGTTTATATATTCCCTTTTGGAGCAAACGTTCCCCCTGCTAGGTTGAGAAAATCATCTTGATAGGAACGGGTTACCTATCCCCTGAAGTGTTGGGACTTTTGACCAACCAGAGACACTGCCACAGCTGGCTTCCTGCTGGCAGTGGGCACCTGTAACCACTTCCTTTCTTGCCAAGAGCCAATAAGGCCTGTGTCGCTGAGTTCAGGCTACAAGTAGTGGAGATAAACTGAGAGGGGAGGGGACAGCAACCATTCTCTTTTTAGGAGCCTGACTCATTCTCCAGGAATTCTCCACAGTGGGGAGGAGAGGCCAATCCCAACTGGGTTATGTTTAGTATGTGTAGATGGGGAGGTGAAGACAGCAAGCACTTGCATCAAGATCAAGGCTCTGAGGCAGGACCAGAACTGCATGTAAAGATAAAAGGGGTGCCTGGTCATAGCTAGCCACAAGCAACAGGGGAGAACAACCTGCTTCAGGTATTGCCAGAAGGGGGAACTGGCACTGGCCAAGACCAAGTTCTCCTTATTTTACTGTTTTTAAAAATGTATATTATCCGGCTTTTCTTCCATGAATCCAAAGGGGCAAACTGCAAACAAAAGTAGGCAAAATGATTGGGAGCAACAAGAACTGCCAAATTCAAAACAAAACACCAGTAGTTTTACTGAGGGTTGGGAAATCCTGGAAAGCCACTGTCAAATGCTGAGCTACATGAACCAATGGTCTGACTTGGTGTAAGGCAGCTTCCTATGTTCTTATCAGAGTGCAGGAGGGGAAACCTGGGCCGTGAGTTTGAGCCCCATGTTGGGCAAAAGATTCCTGCATTGCAGGGGGTTGGACTAGGTGACCCTTGAGCGCCCTTCCAACTCTACGATTCAAGCCAGAAATTGTTC